TAAAAAATGATTGAAAAAGCAGTGTTTTTACATTTCATTGATTTACTCGAAAACTATAATAGCTAGAATTAATCCGAAAGTTGCATATGAAAGCTGAATGTTTAGGGAATCTTGCATGTATCGATATATTACTGTGATTTTATCAGTATGGCTGTAATTCGCGTTCAAATATAGGTGATGAATTGGGCTTGAACGCCATGGAAATTTGAAAATGGAGAGTCTAGCTTACCTTTAAGAAAATAGTAACAGGTGCTGAATCTTGGTTTTATAAGTATGATCCGGAAACCAAATAGCAGTCCATGGTATGAAGCGCAGAAGGTTAAATCAAGAACACTAAAATCAGCAAAAAAAAAAGTGATTACAAAAAGGTTAAAAATTAAATATATTAGCTTAAAATTAGCCAACTAGGCGAACTTTTGTTGGACCCCACATAGATAGATGATCACCCGGCGCATCCACAATTTAAACTCGTTTCCTGTTTCCATTTATAAAAGGGGACACGCCCTCCGATTTCCGGTCTCTCGTGCCAACCGTTTTTGTTGCGCGATTTAACGGAAATTTCCGCAATAACCGATTAATCAAGTTGCGTCAAGTTGATTAATAAACTCGATTATCGCTGCCCGTTCTGCTCTTTTATTGTCGACAATAACAACGAGCGGGTTTCGCACTTTCCCCGCATTCCTGCACCCCCGCAGCACAAGCAAAAAAAAAACAGACACCGAACGTTCTGATGGTGCTTGCGCCTACCTGATCTTGTCAATTTGCCCAAGTTATGCAACATTAACAGCGTTCGTGGATAATTTGAAGGGCGCTTCAAATAAGAAGAAGAGAATCTGCATAAAAGGACACACTTTGCATGAATCACATTATCGATAGTTGCATATTTTTAAAAAAGAAACATGAATTTGCTGAAATAGATAGGTTTTAGACCTGATACAGGTTTTAGGGTTGCAATTTAAAAAAAAATCTCATCCCCCAAAACATCAAAGTCGTATTTCGGTTGGTATTAAAGTGTAGTAAGAATAATGTTGTGGAACTGAATTTGTTTGATTTTATTTTTTGAGGCCGAATGAAAAGAAAAGTGTAACACAAACATTCGCCGAGTGAAAGAGAGATTATTAAAAGGAAACGTTTTAAAAATAAGCGTCGCTTTGATCCCGCGCGGAATGAAAGAAGAAGAAGACGAAACAGAGGAAGACTATTACTGTTATTATTTGAAAAGATCGAAGAAGCCTAGAGAGAGACTCAGTCCATTCGATTCGTGTTTATTTTCCGAAGCATAATAATAAGCGAACGCGATTTATTTGTTTTTGCAAATTCTCTTACTCGACCACGCGAGCGCGTGTAAATATTTTCGCAATCGTTTCGTTTGTTTCAAAAAATACGTGTTTATTTTTCTTGATGTAATTGAAAATTAACACCAGTCTTCATATTTCAGTGATTTTCTCAAAAACTATAGATAGATAGAGTCCAAAAGATGCATACGAAAATTAGATACTTGGAGAATCCAAGATCGCTGTGGTTGCATCTGTCAAAGTTGTAATTAAAAAATGGCGGCGGCGGTGTCGCTTCCGGTCTGTTTGGAGCATCTGTTTCCTTGCATCTACCGCAAAAATTGAATTTCTCTCTGCTCGTGTATTACTAATTGGATCATTAAATCCTTTGCGCTGCACAAATTATGTTGCCGCATTCATTAAACTTAATATTAGTACTTACATTATTTAATTAACAAATTTTCCCCTAAAACTTGTCACTTTTCGCGTCGCATCTGGTTACTAATACGCCACGCCCCTTAACTTTTGTTTATTGCTTGCATTAAACAGCGACAACTTCACGTCTATTGTTTATCTAAAGTTGGCGATGCGCACAAAAAAACAATTGTCGAAAGACAGTTTCGTGCGCGGCGTCGGTGGTGATTGTTGTTTCCCGAATTCAGCTTTCAATTTTCTTCTTACAAATTGAAAAAAAGCGCCGCATCGGAAGCAGAGGTGAGCTCATCACAAATATTGCGTAATATAAGCGTTTCTCGATCTCGAACTGCAGTTAAACGCTTTTCGTCAGACGCTCTCATATTCTGTTTACGTGCCGGTCTATTTTCACTGGCAATCATAAAATGGCTTCGAATGATCTTCAAATGTTTACGAAATCCAAGCCCACTCCGCACAGCTACACACAAACAAACACACACAATTTTAATAGTTTGTACGTTTTAGTAATTCACTGTTGATGTTTCTTTTGCAGCTCGTATGTGGGGGTGACTAAAGGCGTGATGGGGCGAGGGCAGAGCCCCATGGAACTCGGCTAGGTGCGTTTGTCCGGCTGCCCGGCCCCTCTGCTCATCAGCCGAATCCGGCCGCCGCATGGAGCCGGATAAGGAGAAATGCCACAGGCCAAAGGCCTTTGACAAGGTAAGTCACAAACCACCAAAAATCTTACTTATCTCCACCTATCTACCAATCTACTGTTGCTGCATCTATACAGTTGGATGATCGAACAACATTGTTTGGTATTCAATCGATACATTACACCAGCGGTCGCTGCATTACACACATAGAGCAGCAGCTTATACATTACTCTACCAACAAGTCACATTCTTGTGAATATCACAGGGATTCTATATTAACTGCATTAGTTATCTTATTATTCGAGAGTGTCTTGGTAATATGTTCACGAACACCAATCTGCTGCATCGCGTTAATTACATAATTACAATAGTCGATGAAGCATACGTTCTAATTATAATATTATCGATCCCGGATCCATATTTCATGCATCACGCACGGATATTATCATCATCATCATCATCATTACACGGTTTAATTGGAAATTTTCCTCGCGCAGCAGCGAGTGTACATCAAAGACAATAGGCGAAACTGAAAGAAATGAATGTGTTGAAGCGAACGTCCACAACACACATTTCGCAGAGCCAAACAAACGACGGACGGGAATAGACTCTTGTTTTCCTCGCAGCCGTCGTGTGCTGTTTGTTTCCGAGGTCTCGTATGTCCCGCATTTGGGATATTCGTTAAGTTGTTTACCTAGTTTTCGCAATCAAAGTTTCGAACAGTCGCAACGTAATAATCTCCGACCGTAAACTAAATATAAAGTTATTTATAACTTTTCGTATCCTCTAATATATTCACGATGGACAACAACAGGAACTAAGGTTTTCCTTTTTTTAACAAACTCGTTAGAAAAAGCAATGCAGTGCGAACTTGAAAGAGTCTAAATGGATGAAGTTGTACGGCCCGAGGGACACTTAGCAGATGAGAGGGATCTTCGTAAGTTTAATTCGAATCTCCCGAAGGCGCAATATCGATCGTGTAATAATGGATTTCTTGCAGGATTGTTTTCCTTTTCATTATGTGTATATTATTGTAAGCAATTCAACTATGTTGATTGAAAATCGTTGAAACGTTCACGCGAAATTCGTATGAATATTGCATCGCGTAATTATTGTCTTTCGGCGGAACGAGACGTTCCCAGAATCGCCGTTTCCCTATCAAATATTTAGCTTTGCGTGTTTTCCCCACGTACGTTGATCATTCATTATTGAAGTCGACTGTTTTGTGATTATGCGACAAAACGGGAATGAAAAGGTTCCAGAAAAAAAAAACTCTTTCCGCTCCAAAATGAGTCTCTCTTTCTGTGCATGTATTTACTTTTTTTTGTAGGCATGGACACACACACTTTCTATGCATATTGAAACGTGCTGCTTCCTATTCATGATTGCCTTTTCGGTCCTATTCATCGCCTTGGAGAGAAGATGAGGGCTTTTTGAAAGAGAAGCGAGCGTGTGTAATATGCGAGCTATTTACGGCTTCCTTCTCATAACTATTTCCTAATTCCGATTGAAATACATCTGATTGGAGTACATTCGTATAAGTTGGACTTTAGTTTTCTATATATTTAAGCTACTTATTAGTGAGGTGATTGTACGAATATATTATCACAAAGACACGTTTAATTTGATATTGATTGTATAGGAAGAATTAGCTTTATCACACGACATCGCGTATCTACTTACATCTATTACTACAATAACAATAACAAAATCGAGGCATTGCAACGTTCGCTTATCCATATCCATCTAAATGGAGCGAACGTTTAACTCCTTTTTTTTCTTCGTAATTATTGTTTCGTTTCGTAATTATAATGGTGATGATGATGTTATGGGGGATATCCCCGTTGAACGATTCATCAATCATTCATCAATTCCCACCTGACCAGTTACCGCTGTAATTGCCACCTCTTTGCAGAACCTCCCTTGCGATCACGTTGCATATACATTGCATTCACTAAAGAAGCGCAACAAAACATTCCCGTATTCCACCCCTCTTCAATTCGTCTCCGTTGCTGCAGCTACTGCTGTTGTTGTTCGTTTGTTATGTTATGCTTCTATTCTCGTCATATTTTGCCCGAGGATAACATGCAAATAACGTGCAGAGAAAAAAAAACAAACAAGAAACAGTGCACCATTCCGATGGTGATGCGCCATCTATCCTTTTGATAAATGAACCGTACATTTTTGTCCACCTCTTCCCATTATCACCACGTCCACCACTCCCCGAAAGACTTCAAAGAGTCTCTGCAAATCACATCCATTCCACCAATTCGTTTCTTTGAAACGTATCCTCTCACAGTTTCCGATATTATTCAGGAAAATCAGCATTGACAATTTCACTCTCTGCTAAATTAGTTTGCAACATTATTATTTGTTGCCGCTTGCTTTTAGAGACTTTCAACATCTTCACGGTCTTCATTTCAATATAATTGTTTGATCGTAATTATTGTGATTGGGAACGATATGGATTACGGTTAATTCTGTGATGTGCATTTTTAATGCTGTCGCATGGAAAGGGCAGCAAGTTTCGTTCACTTCGCGTACAATATACCAAAAGCGAGGGGGATAAAGAATTTAAAGCTATAATAGTCCCGGTCTCTGGATAATTGCCAGTCGATACATCGTTCGTTCGTTCGTCGATGCATTATGAATGTTTACTTACAAAACCGGTATCGACCATTTCCCTATTTTTATTTCTTCCCATGTTTTAACGGAATTTTCATCGTTTAATTTTTAGATTTACCAACGTAATAATAAAGAACATAAAACTCGCGAACACACACAAAAGGGGAGAGGGTGGAAACAGGAAACGGCGTCAGAGATATTATGCAATTATCGTGATTGGGCGGCCGTTTTTGGCACGCATCAACCCTCCATTTCCTGCATCGCCGAGTCTTCATTTCCTGCGCTCCTGAAAATTTCACTACCAATTTCCACTTGTTATCCCCTCGAATAGTAATCAAGTTGCTCTTGCAATTTCATCTGTTTCTTTTTTGCTCTCTCTCTCTTCAATTCACTTGAACTTCTCTCCCACGTCATCGTTCCATTTTCTGAAATGCCAATCGGATCTGGTCCTTAATTCCATTCGGATGTTGGAAATTCACAATTCGACGAAAGGACGAATATGTCCTTATATATATATATCTTTGTATAAATACTACTACTACTTCGCTCTCTCCCAATATTGTGGTAATACGATTATGGGATTTGTGCAGATGGAAAGCTATTGCTACTACTTGAAGCCGCACAAGCTTTTCCGCGAGTAATTGAATCTTCAATCCGTGCTGCGTGAATAAAATTACGTCAACCTGATTTTACACCGACAATAATAACAATACTATTTAGCTATCATTTGATTCAACCGCAATATCGTTCAATTCCAGTAATTCTTTTAGGACTGAATTTCAAAACACATCGCAAACACGCGTTCGTGCTAATCGCACTAAATCGATTGATTGACCGGACTGTCCTCAATAGCACGTGCTTCGCTTGTTTCCCACTGATTTGTGTGCAGACTTCTGCATCAGGTGTTTACGACCATCATCAATAACATCTTGTGTATCGCATAACTCACGTCAACTCCGATCGAATGCAATTTAACGTCACCTTTTCATTTATTAGTGTTCCTCCTTTAATATCAGTTTTTTTTATAGATAATGACGCTTAGTTTAATAATTATAAACTTTGTTGTAAAGTTTCTAGTGAAGTACTAAAATAGGATGCAGGGAGGTCGAAATAATTACCTTTTCTGTACTGCATTCGACCGGACGGACGAAATATTGTTTTTTTTTGTTGTTCATCGTCGGAACGAATTTCGCCGTTCCGGAGGGAAATGAAAAACAACGTCGCATATTTGTTCGGTGAATAATCTAGTTTGTAACTGGACGCTGAAAACAGCAAGCGGAAAACATAAAAAGTATGAGAGAGAGAAAGACCTGCAGTGGCAATAAATAATTCGATGGAAATTTCGGTCTCGCACACACATACATATACTACATCTAAAGTGTACAAACACGGTCCGTTGGAACTGCCCCACTTGTTTAGTTTACTAATTAGTTTTCGCTTTTAATCTGCAGAGCAGCGAGCGTTGCGTTGCGTTCGCTGCGATGATTGAAAAATAAAGTAAAAACTCGTAACGATCATAATATTAGTTTACCCTTTTCGTTGCCTCAAAGCTTTGTTTTTGTATAAATCTTCGATATTGCAAATTAAGTTGCGTTGTTTCTTTTTTATTAGAAGCAATTAATTATTCATTCATTACGTTATTTCATTGTCGCTTGATCGAAAATATATTGTGGCGTGCAAGTTTCGAAACAGTCCACGTGAGGAAATCTATCACATGTTCAAGGCAAATGTTGGATGGACGGATGCTGGAATGTATCCGTCCTTCGGTGGAGAGAGAGAGAGGAAGGAGATGGGTGTCGGATTTTCGGTGGTGGATGCGCCGGGTTGCGGAGGGCGGTGGCGGCAGATGCGCGGATCCCAGAAAGCTTTGCTTGGTATATACATATATATATAGTAATATATATATATGTATATATATATATATAACTGATGTAATCGCAATATCGATCGTCCCAGGGCCTCGTCGTTCTGCTGCTGCTGTTCTCGCCTTCCAAGCAGTGTTGCCGCCATCCGGGAAAACCGCCTCTTCGTATTTCTTCAAGCCTCTTCAAGTAAGAGTGATGGACACGGGAAAGGGGGGAATGGAATGGTTTCGAAATTATCGGGACAATTTATATTAATTGCACGTTTCATATGCACTCTAATTGCATCGCCCTCGGCGCGATCCATTACGCATTCCGATCCATCTTCACTTCCTTTCTTCTCCATTTTCTTCCAAAACTGATCATCTTCCAAGAAATCCGCCGCCTGATCTCTCGGAATTTCGCTCAACTCGCGCGCGCCAAATCCTTTTATTAAATTCCCATCGATAGAGGGAAGGGTGAATGTGAGGCTTTGGTATGTAACGGAGGAAATAATCATCATCATATAAAATTTATACTAAATGTTAATTATTTCGTTACGATGCGATATAAATAAATACGCGCTTTGGCGAAAGACCTGAGAGCGTGATTGAATTTCGCGTTTTAAATGGAAATTAGTCTAATTAAATCGCGCGGTGGGGAACGTGAAATGTAATTGCCTCCGACGTCGTCCATTTATTCGCACGTAAATGCACCTCGAGGCCGGGATTTCATTATCGCGTCCCGGTCTCGCGCACTCTCCGTCTGCAAAATGATTCCAACGAAAAACAACACACACCTTTTAAAAATCAACGTTCCTTTTCCCTATTGCGTCAACAACAATCACATAAATATAACAACTCTGCGTATCGATTCGATCGTTTCGTTTCATTTTTTTGCAGCAGCAGCAGGTGCGGAAAATGTTCGCGTTATTATTTAGGAAAACCTGTTGCTGCTTTCCTCGTCGACTTGATTCTCTTGGAAGCCCCTTAAAAAGAGAGCCAGTGCAGCAGCCGGCTGTAGTTGTACATTCCCTGGGGTCCATTTAGTTTTTACTGAAAATTGAATATGCAATTAAAACGCATTCAACCCTTTCAATACGCAACGTATTTAAAAACATTGCATAACAAAGTGAAAAACAGGTTTCAATTAATTTGGATTACGAAACTGCAATCAAAACCGTATCGTGCAACGCGCGTTATTTAAAATAAAAAAAAGCAGCAGCAGCAACATTTGATTTCGCGTGCAATTAGTTGTTTACAGTAGGCGGTGGAAGCGACGGGTTATTGTTATTATTATTATTGACATCGATCGCAGTCGGCGATGGAACTGAGTTAATTGCGCATATTCACGCTTTTTGCTTTTTATAAATCAAATTTATACAAACAACGATTTCATACCCTTTTGTTTGGATACTTGAGCGAACGGAGATTTACGTTCAGCCATTATTATTAATTCCTATCAAAAATGAATGAGTTCACGCTTAAATGGAAAATAGAGACACTTCTCTTCTTTATGGCCCATTCGATACGTCGTTTACTTCGAGATTTAATGGGCATCATTCAATAATAAAATCTTGAAATTGATTGCATACGGATTATTCGCGAACAATCACTGCTCTTTATGCGTTTACCAATGTAAGACACAAATTAGTTGGATTCTAATGCTAGTTTCTTTGCCGTCTATCTATTATATTATATTTGATTTAAAAAATAGCTTGAAACATCTTTTGTTATTTCAGCTTAAATTAAAAAATAAACCGAAATAACGTTTGCATTCCAGTACAAAGACACGTTGTACATAATGCAGCGAATTTCGCAGTCACGTTTTCGCGTACAAAGCAGAGAATGCACACACGAATGCAGACAACACGAGGAGAGTCTAATAAACACACACACACACCCCCACACGAAATGTTAGCTAAAAATGTAACTTGAAAATAAAATCCACAGCGGAGGGTGGAAATGGTGATGTTATTAATTTCGACATCGCAGAGTTCGTCCCCTCGCTCAGTTTACGCGCTCGCTGCTGAGTTTTAATTAAAAAGGGGAGAAAAAAAAAAGTGGAGAGAAACGGAAATTCTCTCTCCTTTCGTTCCCAAAAGGTTTCAAAACGCGCTCGCATCATCAAATTAATGTCAGTCCTCCTACCCTTAAGCGAGAATTACATTTTTTTTAGTCTAAAATCTCTCGTTTTGCTTCATTCTATTTAGTATAGAAATCGCATCATAAAAAAGATATTTATATACAATTAATATGAATATTTCAATTGAAACATTGAATATTTAGAAACTTGAACTATTCTATCTATAAACATCGCAGGAAGGTGGGTTTAATCGGAAACGGAATTTCCGTAAATCTGTTTGATCATTGAATGCAACTTGGCGTTAAGTTCGTTAATTGAATTTGCTTTTGCTATTGATCTTGAATCAAAGTTACAATAAGGCGATAAACAGTTGGGCGAACAAGTTTGTCACACTTGACATTTACCTGTGCACTTTCCGACTAGTTGTGATCCCAGTTCGAAATTACACGTCAAATTTATTGTTTACTTTGAGAAATACTAATAACAGCTTATAAACTAATTGAAATTAATGAACGTTTATGATCTTACAAAATACGAAAATCCTTGCATTATATAATGTATTTTCCATGCTATTATCATCAAGGACGTAGTAAATATTACACTTGTTACAAAATAATTTTATAACAGAAATGAGGTCTTTCACTGTACTTGGCTAAGGTCAATGCAAGTGCGAGTGTCGTTAATATTATTATATTTCAGCATCGTTAAATCTCTTTATGACTCATCCTTAAAACTTTATTATATTTACTACATGCTTAATATAATATAAACTTGTATCGTTACTTAATCACAGCTTCTTTACTTCCTACTAAAAAAAAAATGAAACATTTAATGTGTATTGTATAAGTCTTAGTTGAAATTTATTAAATGAATATTGATATGCATGATCAAGTTGTGATTGAAATTGATGCGACCTTAAGTGGATGAAATTTCCGCATAAAAATCTCAATTAGCGTACGCTCCGAGAGGTTCATCGATTAGCATTGTATAAGATTTACGCTTCGTCTACCACCCGTTTCCATAGATTCGCGACTAATTTCGTTCTGCTTTTTTTGGAGAAAATTGAAAAAAAAATAAATGGGAACAATGGAAAAGTTGATGCGATAATTATTAATTTGCCAGCGGGAAAGTTTTTGGATGGAAGAGTTTCGTGATAATCGCCCTCCTCAAGGGAGATTAATTAATAATATCCCGTCCGTCACTAATTAGCGAACTAAGTTATAGTCTGGAAAAAGAGAGTTAACGGGTTTGAGAGGATGAATGAATGATTGAGAATCGTGGAATCGTTGCACCTGAAATCGCTCGTTTCATCCTTGAATGTTTGTTTGAGATAGGTGTGTGCATCTCTGGATCGGCGTGTTGCACAAACAGTATGCAGATTCGGTATACATTTATATTGGGATTCGGACGACTTCAAAGGCGGCGTGTGTTTGGTTTTGCGCTGAGTGTGTGTGTGTGCCCGAAACGGGTTTGGCCTCTAACACCGACGTCGTCCTCCTTCTATCGATTGAAACCGACGGCCTTCTTCTTTTGATATTCTCTCTCTCTCACTCTCTCTATCCTTCTAGAGATGAGTCCGTCTCGCCTCCTTCCTCGCATTCGAAATTCCTCCCGAAGGGCAAATTCGCTGTCCTAAACTTCCACTTTAATTCTTGCGAGGACGAGCTCCAGCGCTCACAACGTAAATTATTCGCCTATAAATCGATGGCCTTCCGACGCGAAATAGAGGGTACATCAGTTAGTAAAACGGAATCTCTCGCATCGCTGCGCACTTAATATAATCGTGGAAATGGCATTCGTTTCGTAATGATGCGAACGCTTTATAACCGTTTGTGCACTGACTGACACAAACATGACAGATGACATTTTATACTAGAGTTAGTAGTAATTCTCTGGGGGATTTGATTGCATAATCTATAGCTTACTAGTTTTAGATTTGCATTTATTATATAATCCTTGCATTCTATATTTCAAATAAGCAAATACACGTTTTCATCGTAACTTACTCGCTTAACATTCCAACTTAATTGAACCGTTGATGGTAATTCTCGGGAGACACACTCTCTCTCCATGTTCCCCTCTCTCTCTCTCTAGTATAATCATCAGGTGGAGGAGGGTCGATGTTGACTTTTCCACACCTACTATATTGACATTCCCTCACGCCCGCTCGTTGCGTACGTCTCTTTGATGGGAGCCCCAGCGCTCACTCTATCACCACTACACACTTTACGTACCTGGAATGCACAATAGCTTCGTCTTGATTGCGAGAAATTAACTGTCAACGATTTGCATCGATGAATTACCATAGGAAGTAATGAAGCAAGCATGCAAATCTGCCAATCGCAAGAACGTACTGATTAAACCGTCGAGTAATGAATTAAGGAATTAAGAATGTAATTATTTAATTTTCTTAGATACTAACGAAATGCGAATTGCAAGAACGTCTTCATTGATGTATTTATTGTACGATACTATTTTATTTTGCAATGGATGATAAAAGCTTCGATGTCTTCGAAGAAAATCTAATCACAGCCAATCCGGATTGCACTTTCGAAGAGCAATCCCGGATAGTTTCATTTCGTTGCGCATTTGAGTGCTCGCGCGCTAAAAGCATTTGCGTCGTAGGTTTTGTTTCGTTGTTAATTTTGTTGTTGTTGTTGTTGCAGATGGAGGGGCTGGTGCGGGAGATGCAGGACGCCGAGAACGGGGTGCCGGTAAGAAGTCAGAAACTCTTCCTAACATCTATCCCTTCGGCCTTCATGGGTAAGAGTCACCAAGCTCATCATAGACTTCACCTAGGTACACCATGTGTATATAAAATATAGATCGATGTTATTTTTCGTGTTTTACGTTTTGCGTTCTATTTTCGTTTATTATTTAGTTTACGTAACTAATTACAACTGGCTCTGTTAGAATAGATAAGGAATAGCAAGAGTTCTAATGCATGCATCTTTTTTTGTAAATTAAGTTAATAGTTTTGGATGGTTTCAATTATCCTTGACTATCCATTATCCATTACACTACACCTTTCCAAATTCTCTTAGCGTCTATCTTTATTCATTATAAATGAATCGATATATTACTTTATCTATTATTAATAAGATAGATAGTGTAATTGAGATATCAGCAGTGTTGATTCGATAATCTTCAGATTCAATCGCAGAGTTACATTATTGAATAGGGCAATACGTAGCAAGTCCGATTGGAGGATGAAATTTGTGCTACGTGCAGGCATTGAGCTTCAATTTCGCGAAAATGCGCTCTTTCAATTATTATTTTCTTCTCTTTTCTCGATTTCTATTTCTCAGGAAAAGTGCACTCGTAATAATAATAATAATGATGATGGGTGGAGAAGCAATTTCACAATTTTCCGATCGGCTTCATCCCTTTCTTTCTTCCCTTTCGTTCCTCCGCGACGATAATTGACGACGTTTTTAATTAAGTCGATTGATCTACTCTTTTTGTTTTTTGGGGGGATATAATTAGAAGGTAGATGAGGAGCGGCCCCAAAAAAAAAATTTAATAACGCAATCGATATGCGAATGATGATGATGATTGAAGGGTGGCGGCGCCGGGTGTTTTGTGTGTGTGTAATAAATAAACGACAATTTGCGTTTCATCGGTTACCATCATAACTTCTCTTTTTTTTTGTCGACTCTATTGATTGAACCAATTTCAAAGTCTATTATGTCATGTCTTCTTTTTTTTTAATTGATTACTGCAACTACGCAAAAGTTTAATTGTGAAGATGATCTCCACGAAAGGGTTGATCCTAAAATATTCCAATTAATATTGTTGAGTCATGATGCAAGTCGAACTTTCGAGGTTGCAGTGTGCGTGGGCGTGAATTTGGGACGCGTCAGCTGGATATTCCCGGTCCTTCCGGCATCAAAGAAAAGTTTCGCTCTATGGAAATAGTTGGAAGGCCGGCCTCTCTCTCTCTCTCTCTCTCCTCTTCGTCGGTTCGTGGAATTCGCTTAAACATTTCACGTTGCACACACACACACACATTCACTATTGTTTGCGAGCCTCCTTCGATCGAAGAGACCTCATCTCGATCCCTTTGCTCCTCCTGTCTCCTCCACCTCCTCTTCATCCACTCCATTCCAAAGCCTTCGCGATGCAAAGTGAGCATCGCTCGCTACAGGCGAGAGAGTAACAGAGAGAGGGGAAAGGAGGTGTTGCAGAAGGGTTGAATTGGGGCGTTAATCGATTCCAGGCCAATTTCAATGCACTAAATGTGTATTTCGCACGGAACTGATACGTTTTCCCAACCGACTCTTCGACTCGGACCAACAACAATCCCGACGATTGTTCGACCACCACCACCACCCCCTTCGTTCCCTTGCAATTCCAATCCCGTTCCGCATTCATTCATTTGTTCCTTTCTCTATACCTCTCACGTCCTCTATTTTTTTTGTTTTGTTTCGTTTCTTTCATTTTCATTTTCCATCCGCCTCGGTATTATTTAACTGCCTTTGTTCCTCTCTCTACCCATTTTTCCATCCTGCGCAATTGTCGTCGAGCCAGTAATTTCTCTTTTGTTCTTTTGCAATTTACGCTTCACTTTTTTTTTATATTATTTTATACTTTTTTTTTGTTTTTGTTTCTTGGGTTACTCGATATGAAGTACCGAAATGACTAATTCGCCCTCTCGCGTCTTTAGGTTACGACTTAATTGAATGGCTCATGGAGAGACTCAGCATTGAAGAATCTGGTAAGATTAATACTTTAACTACTCTTTAATGTACGTAATTTTATATCTTTTTTTCGTTAAAGTAGGTCAAAACAATTCTATTATATTTACATACAACTTTAATTAAACACATACAAATATGCTAATAACAATTTCCAGGTTCTTAGTTTAAAATTTCATTTAAATTCATTAAGAAAATTAGGTTTGAATTCATCGAGTAGATTCTTTTTGTATATCAATTATTTGTTCTTTTGTATATCAGATGAAAAGGGTTTCTCCTATTTGCCGCCCGTACTTGTTGCAATACTTATGTGTGTTTGTTCTGCAGAGGCTCTGAACTTGGCCAATCAATTATGTCAGTACGGCTACTTCTTTCCCGTCAGCGACTCGAAGAACCTCGTCGTCAAAGATGATAGCTCTCTCTACCGCTTCCAGGTAATATCTGCACTCAGTGATTACCACTTTTTTCTTATAATTTTATCTTCGTTTTTTTTTTTTGTAGTCCCCGTATTATTGGCCCTACGCGAACAAAGCCCCCGACAACATCGACTACGCCGTTTACCTTTCGAAACGTTCGATGCGCAACAAGCAAAGACACGCCTTGGACGACCACGAGCTGGAGACACTGGGCAATCTGCGAAAGAATCTCGCAAACAAATGGGATTTCATCACTATTCAAGCTGAGGAACAGGTGAGATCTTGACGGGACGGACGGAATGCTACTGCTGCTCTACCTCTTTGCTTGCTTTGTTTGTGTGTGTGTGTGTTTGTTTGTAGAATGTGCATGATGAACAGATTACAAATCTTAGCGTGTCCAAGCGTGATTCAATTGTAAATGATCTGCATTGGTGGTAGAGTGGATGGACAACTTCGGATGGTTGGAAACAACAACAGCGGTGTTTATTAATTGGCATCAATCAGTTCCCGTTTCTTTCTTTCTTTCTTTCTCCCCGTTGTTTTCACATTCCGTAGTACGTGCGTCCGGTATTTGTTTGGCCCGTACTTTTCCACCCCTCTCGAATTATTGATTTTCTCGGAGGCGATGTCTGTTTGTGATGCGGGGCGGCGAGGGCACAGGGAGGTGGTCTCTAATGAATGTTTTCCTCCTCTCTGTTCTGTTCCCTCGGCAACATGTACACCGCGAAACCATCAAATCAATTGCACGACCCACTGCCTACCTCCCTTCCTCCCGCCCTCTCAATATACATCTATATATATTCGCACCAATTTTATCGTCCCACCGCTGAAAACTACAACCCTCTCTTCCCTTTCCTCCTCCTCCTTCTCCTTTTTTTTTTGTTTCATTATCTCTACGTCCATTTATTCACCCGACCGACCTCATCTTAAACTGACAGAATCCCAATGGACTTTCCCATTAAAGTAATGGAGATCGGACAGACGTCGTGGACCTTCTCAACGTCAATACGGCCCTTCCGAACATTCACTCACTCACACACCTACAACATAAATTGAGCGGGACTGAAGATTTCCAAAGAAATATACGAAGGGATGGATATCCGCTGACAATGTCTTTTGCACAAAAGCATCCGATTGAAACCTTCTTCTCTCGGACCCTTATCTTCTCTTCTCCATTCGGTTTTCCTAGGAAAGAGGCTCTCGCATTCATTTCTCTATACAAAAGACATCGAAATACGTATTACTTCATCTGTATATATTAATATAATGCTCCTTTTTTCACCCTATCAGAAATTGAAGCGCATTTTCTCCTTCTCATTAGCGTCCTCCTTAATTCAATACCCATCGATGTATGTTGGTTATTGCCTTCGCGTATCTTCCAAGAGGGAACGAAAAAAAAAAAATAAGTAGATTGCGATAAGCGAATGCATGTTTGGATGCGATAAGAAGGAGAGCTGAACGCGTCAAGGGGGAAGAGAGAGTCTTATCCTCGATACTTTTGCTCCGTTTTCGCTCTTCCTTATCGACACGTTCGCCTGCGTTATTGGCTTTTTCGCGGATCCGAAAATGGTGAAGGCTCTGAAGAGGCTGTGCCGCAACGTCAGATTGATATCACCGGTTAGTTTCTTTCTTCATGGACGTTTTCTGCTGCTGCTGCTGTCGCTGTTGCTATTGTTGTTTGTTTTTGCCTGTGTTTGGTATGCGGTTGGTGCAATGCGATGTCGTTGTGAAGAGTACAGTTGGTTGCATTTTGCTAGGTAAAGTTGGGAAAGGTACTGAAGAAGGGCGAAAAGATCATCAGCGACTCTCAGGAGAGGGCGTACTGGCGCATCCATCGGCCGCCTCCAGGACAGATCAGCTCGTTGGAGCAGTGTCCAGTTCCGCCGCGAAGCCGCAACGGAAATCGGACCAAGAAACGCACCGTCGAGGATGGAAAACGAGAGGTGATAATAATAATAATGATAATATTGAAGCAATTGAATCAATAATCATAACTATTTATATTTTAGGTGGATATATTGAAAGCCAGTTTATCGAGGACCCGCGTCAAGGTGTCGCAGGCTCTGGAGAGTATGGTTCAGTACGTGGAAACGTATTCCGAGTACGATCCGATCATCTCCGGAACTCAGCCTTCAAATCCTTGGGTCAGCGAGGACCTCACCTACTGGCAACTCAACAGTCCACTGTGAGTGTTGCCATATTCAACATTTTGAAAATGTTCCTTGTTGCGAAATCGGTCTGCATTTGGTTCGTGCTTTTCTAGCGTCGAAATTCCGACGGAGAAGCGCGTCAAGCGATGGGGTCTGTCCATGGAGGAGCTCGTATCTGATCCGACCGGTCTGCAGGAGTTCACCAACTATCTGCGAAAGGAATACAGCCACGAGAACATCCGTTTCTGGATGGCCGTGAACGATCTCAGGAGGTCCGCCCAGTCTCAGATACAACGAAAAGTGAACGAGATATTCGAGTACGTCAATATTACCAGCCACATCCAATACGAACCGATTTTGTAATTCTGTTTTTGTTTACAGAGAGTTTCTGGCTCCAGGTGCACCCTGCGAGATCAACATTGATGGCAAGACAATGGAACGCGTTCACCAGGAGATGAGGAGTCCCAGCCGATTTACGTTCGACTCGGCCCAAGATCACGTCTACACCTTACTGCTGAAAAAGGATTGCTATCCGAGATTCATACGATCCGAACACTACAAGAATCTCCTCGCAGTCGGAATACAACCGACGACGAAGAAACGGTAGAATTTTCAATTCATTTCATCTATTATTATTAACTGGTGTATTCATCCTAAAGATCACATCAAGTTATTTCAGTTCTTGTTTGTTTGTTTGTCCAATTATTATATAATATGTTTTTGCAGATTCTTCGGATTTGGCCAGCAAAAGAAGAAGACCTCGACGAGCAGCGCTCCAAATCCGGCACTGCTGCAGCAGCAGCAGCAATCATCGCAGCCGTGCGGTATCAGCACCGGGGCCCTTTCGAAGCGCCGGGGCAGCGACCGAAGTCTTTCCGGTTCCGCCCACGAACTGGCAGTTTCCGGTGTACGGGGAGGCGACAATCGGGTACCTCACTCCCATTCGCAGAGCAATCTGAGCGACATCCCCTACAGGTAACAGAATACAAAAAGAGAGAGAAATGAAAGAAAAAAGAAGAAGAAAAAAAACGAAACCGAAAACGCTCGCTCGCTCGCATCTCCATCGTACGGTCATCAACTCCGAATCGCTCGGAATCAAAGTCATATGTCATCTTAGGATGCACGAGGCATGGCGCTCCGCTTTCATTCGATGTTACATTTTCTGTTAAAAGCTCTTTTTATCTCTTTTACTATCTCTCTCTCTCTCTCTGTGTGTATCACCCACCACGACATCTTAAAATCTCGAAAAAGAGCAAATACACGGTTTCGGTCGCGATACTCAACATCAAAATACAGAAAGCAGTTTTTATGTTCTTCGTTTGCTGTTGTCAATGTCGTTGTCGTTTATTTTACGTTTCGTCCTTTTTTTTTGTTCCCTTTATTTTTGTTTTGGGCGTAGCTAGAACGAGTTTCGTGCTTGACTTTCAGGGGCGACCTACCTGGCAAGTCCAGGACATCCACGACTGCCATGACTCATTCACCGTAAGTCCGTGTCAGCTGTGCTTTCTTATTTATACTTATTACCTTGTATCTATCTATCTATATGTATATTGTATATGTATTGAGCAACGGATGATTGTACCCCTTTATTTGTTTGATCTGGATGTTTTACATTTTTTCTCTTAATTTCATTATTTCCAATTCTAGGTGTTGTAACAATTGGTGTTGTATTCATGTTTGTTGCCTTCTACGCAAGAATCTTTCTATCTTTCTTTCCTCTATCTCTTGTAATATCTGCCAATTTCCAGCCCTTTTACTATCTCTGCCGAATAATCCAATCCATTTGTATTTGGAACGAGATACCCACACAAACACACAAATTTTCAGGCTTATTTGATCGATGTAGTCCTTGCATGCAGAAGAACTCCTCCATGATTGTATGAACCGGCTCACCCTTCTTTGAAATTGTTGCCCGTCGGGGTTTGGTTGTTTTGCTCTAACTCTCTTTTTATATACCCATTTACTCGTTATTAGCTCGTTACACATTATCAAATAATGCTTCGCAAGCTTCATGATATTTCTATGAAATATGCATTATCTTCAATCATACTTATAGAAAAATGTATATTTTGTGAAAGCGAAGTGTGCAAGAACAGCGAAATCGGTTGTAGCGAACTAATAAAGTGTGTCGCTTCTCCAAACTAAGCCTGCGAACCACTGTTTTGTTTGAACCTTTTTTTAAAGAAAGCTTTCTGAATCTTTAACATTGATTTCCTGCACCTACTTTATTGGTCAGTTTTTTTTGGAGTTTGGAAGAAGAGGAACTGTATATAATGTACTATACATACACTTGAGCTTGACAATGTTCATTCAATGGTCATTTTAAGACCTTTAGAAATGTTATCGAGTCCCGGTGTGTATCTTATAGTTTATGTCCGATTTGCACTTTTGAGTTTAATTTCTCTGTTGCACTGGTAAAAGAGAAGAATGAGATTGTTACTGTGAAAGATAATGGTTAAAGTTTCTGCTCCATTTTCACGGTAACATGCATATGACTTGGAACGTAGAATTGGTGTATATATGTGTGTATTGTTTTGTTGGTTTTGATGCGGTTATAATTATTGCTTGTACGATTCTAACATGTCCGTTCTATTTTGGTAGGGTGAAGAAGCCCGGTATTGCTGTGACATCCGGAGCGTCGACTTCGGAGGACGTTTGTCCATGGGAGGCGCACGGTCCGGAGCCGAGGTCCAGGAAGAACTCGACCCAAATGGACTCGGGCAGTTCTGCCTCGGACATCTGCGTTGCCGTTCAGGTGGCCGCCGAGGTGACGGATCCCAAGGTGAAGAAGGCAGGACATCTGCCGCAGCAAAGCACGATGGACGGCGGCAAGAGCAGCAGGAAGTTGTCCGCGGTGTGTTGCATAGAGCCGAGAAGAGCATCGGTGTCCGTACCGATTGACAGGAAGATCTTCGAGGAGGTGTCGAAGGTGCCGACGCCGACACCGGCGCCGACGCCAACGCCACCGGTTCCCAACAAAAGTGATGTTGACAATAAGAGTGAGGAGATTTGCAGAACATTCAGGAAGAGCCTCTCGGTGGCCGGCGCCGCGAACGCTCCGACCATCAGTGTTAGTTCCGCGACGGACGATGGCGACGTTCTGCAGGAGGCAGGTGCAGACGTCGTCGACCCCAAAGTTGACGGCGCCGAAGACGAGAAGCCCATGGAAGAGCGGCTGTCCGCGGCGATGGTAGAGGAGGAGGAGGACGAGGAACAGGATCATAAGCGGAGGACGGAGCCGGAGGTCGTCATCAGCCGTTTAGCATTGGCGCCGCTCGCCGAACCGGACAGCGAGTCTCCCATCAGCGAACTTCCGCCGGAGCCTAACTTCCTATCGGAAGAGGCCAAGAGCAACGACGTTTGCCCCTGGGAGGACGAGTAAGTTGCACTCGGTTCGGATCTACTTCCATTCACAAACCTAAATTTTTCACAATCTCAAAAAACGCTCCCAAAATGAAATGCAAGTAACGCGCGCCGCATACGTTACGTCTCAACTCTCGTACACATTTGCAAACCCACTCAATTTTCGTTTGTTCTCTTGATTCAGACCAAAAAAAAAACACCCCACATGGAAGTAGATTTAGTTTTCCTGTTTCCAGCCGCACTTGCACCAGCCACCAGAAAGAAATATGCCTAAAAGAATGAAATTCTCTTTGCAGGGAAACAAAGTGCAATGTGGATGGTTCCTTTAGGAAGACTTATACCACTCTCGGGTTTCTATAAGCAAAAGCAAATGAACAAACAGAAAAAAAAACCGAAACCGTATAACAAAAGTCACGAACACTCAACTATCAGTAAAAGAAAACCATTGGACACAATACGCACACACACATAACTCAAACGCAACCAAAACAACAATAACTCATCCGGTTCGCTCTTGAAGCTTGCGCCGTTTTTCTTTTTTTGTCGGAAAGCAGCCCCACGGTGAATGATGACTCTTTCCGTTGCCCAATCGAATCGCGATGAACCCTCTCCTCTCTCTCCCTTTCTCTGACGCTCTCGAAACGCATGCTGCGCTTGGTGAGTTTGGACCAAGCGCGTTCGCATCCCAGAATCGTTTCCCGCGGGCAATAATCCGGCAGGTCTCCATTGAATTTCCATCTTCGAAAGAAAAAGAGGAACGCGCGCGCTTTCTATGGGTCTCGCGTCCTGGTCGCAAGAACCTGCGTGCCGACCATACTGAGCCCTTGGTCCTCACGCAGCCTCGGCCGAAGCGGAGCCCATCGATCGCGGACCGCCGAACAACTACTTTCTTGACAAACAAAGAACAGTGCAATGATGATGCACACGAAATTCAATCGAAACCGGGCAGAGCCGCGGGACTTTGCAAGTTAAATGTACACGTGTGTCGCTTAAATAATATTACTTAAGGGTATAATCTAATAATATGGATGTCTATTTAATCTGATTATAAAAAAAAACAAACATATTTAATGGACGTGTTTTCCGAACTAGTTGTTAGCTTATATGTGAACGTGTGAGTGAGTGATTAACGCGATTGTTCCTGAGGAAGAGAAGTGGAGCAGATCGAGGAGGTTGTTGAGGAGGTTCGCGCAGGCATCTGCTTTGGAAGAATCTCGGTTACGGTGCAGTTACCGTTTTCCTTCCAACCATTTATCTCCGATCGACTCAACCCTCTTTAATTCACATTATTATTAGTAATGATAATGATAAGATATCACTTACCTCTCTTACCTAATAATATAATATATAAATGCTTGAAAAGTAGAAATTGTTGATGATATGATAGATAGAATAGAATAGAATTCGCGTTTATTACATTTAACTTAACAATTAATGATGAATCGGTGTTTAAAGCAAAAAGATAAACGTAGCAGATTAATTATTAAGTAAATCTTTGGTGTATCTGTAAGGAATGTCTATTAAGAGTTCAGGCTGACCCTGGGAGGCGAACTGTTAGATGATGATGATGACGATGATGAAAGAGAAAAAGAGACGTGTCGAAGATGGGTTCATCGGTCGGTTTTTTTTTTTGTTTTCGATTCGCAACAAGCAAAAGTGGGCGACCTTCCTCCTCCTTCCGGTCGTAAAAAACCAACGGACAAGATCCAAGAGCGAATCGCTTCCAACGCAAATAATGAATGAAGAGATTATATATAAGTCTTCAAAAAAACATATTAACACCAAAAACAAGTAATTTACAGCAAACAGAAAAGAAACGTCGACCCAATATATATACATACATTTTACTATACGATAAGTATTATTGAATGGTACTAAAACAACTTAAAAATGATGAAGATTATACGAAACTTTGCGTGGTTTCTGCGTGCCCCCGGAAATATAATTAAAAAAAAAAAAGAAACCCTCATAAACCCCCTCCCCCCAAACCACCGGAAGAGAAATTGATTAGACA